AAAAAAAAAAAAAACAGGGGTCCAGTTCTAACCTCTGGAGGGAGGCAAACACTCACCTTTATAAGTTCATTCCTTTGTTCATTCATGCGGCAAACATCCACTGCCTCCCATCCATGGTGGCCCCACACCAGTGTCTGGGGACACTGGGACCTCTAAGATATGGTCTCTGCCCATGGAGGCTTCACAGTCTGGTAGGAAGGCAGACCAGGGGCTCCACGTTAGGTGCCCACCCCATCCACAGCCCACGTTGCTCCCCGGGAAGAGTGTGGAACCGTGCAGCACCCACCCTGTCCTGGGGGAGTGGGCAGTCAGGGCGTGCGCTGGGAGTGTGAAGACAGTCCGAGCCTGGCAGGTGGGTCTTGCCCTCTCTGCTCTCTGTTTGGACTTTGCTGAGGGAGTGACTGCAGGTGCACTGGGGGAAGTCCACACCACTGTGCTGATGCCTGTGTTCCTCCAGGAACCTGATTCATGAGGCAAAAATTATCATAATTGATTATCCCGCTGAGCGGGTGAGAGCAGTGTTTGCTAACAGCGAGGCTGAGACTCCGCTGCGTGTTTCCTGACCCTGGGAGCACACGGCGGGATGGCATCCGAAAGGCCTAGCCCGAGGGCCCCCTCCTTCCCCCGACCCCAGGAGTGGGCAGGTGGGGCAGGGGCCGGAGAGATAGAAAATGCTGAGAGCATAGAACAGGGGGGCTGACATTCATCTCAGAAACACGAAGCCAGGCGCCGTCCCAGGGACGGGCAGCCAGGCCACCACCGGAGTGGTCTCCCAAAATGTGGGCTGCTCCGCACGGAGACCACCTTCCTTTCCACACACGAAGGCCTCTGGGGAGGCGCAGGGAACTCCGTGACCTGGAGGTTCTGTGGAAGGATGGAGGACGAAGCCGGGCTGGGGAAGCTCCTGGCCGAAGCGCCAGGGAGACAGGTTGGATCCGTTGTTGAGGCATCGAGCTTGGCCGGCTCTTTGACCACCCTCTAGTTCTGGAGCTTCCAAAAATGGAGACTCTTTGGTGATTGCAATGGGGCCCAGCCCCTGGGTTCAAGCAGTGCAGGTAGGACGTGTTGCACTTTGACGAAATAAAGATGCTCGCAAGCACGTGACGTATTTAAGAGAACTCAAGGGATGTCAGGAATCACTCGGAAGAGAAGGACTTGCAGAGGCAGGGAAGGTGGGGTGGCGGGACGCTCTGCCAGCTCCCATCTGGGCTGATGTGGCCCAAAGACTGGGAATTCCAGGGCTGAAAGTTGTTCTTGTGCTGGGAGGAAATCCGAGGGCTTGGGCGCAGTCTGGGCCAGTGGAGGAGAAGGGGCAGAACACACGAGGCATTCGGGAGGAGAGGTGAAATCCCGAATGCTTGACTTAGCCCTGCTTCACCTCCTTAGCCCACGGGCCAGGTCCCCCCTCCAGCAGAGCCGCAGACGACCCTTCCAGCATTCAGGTCCTGGCTCCACATCCGAATGTGTGTGTGTTCAGCGGGGCTGGATTCAATGGAACCAAATGGTATTGACTTGGAAACACAACTCACTTCAAGAAAAGAAATCACCAATAAAAAAAAGTTCTGCTGGGCGTGGTGGCTCACGTCTGTATTCCCAGCACTTTGGGAGGCCGAGGCGGGTGGATCACCTGAGGTCAGGAGTTCGAGACCAGCCTGACCAACATGGTGAAATCCCGTCTCTACTGAAAAAAACAAAAATTAGCCAGTCGTAGTGGCAGACGCCTGTGATCCCAGCTACTTGGGAGGCTGAGGCAGGAGAATCACTTGAACCCGGGAGGTGGAGGTTGCAGTGAGCTGACATCATGCCATTGCACTGCAGCCTGGGTGACAGAGCAAGACTCCCTCTCAAAAAAAGAAAAAGAAAATCCCCCAAATCAACAAAGGCAGCAGTTTGTGAAAGCCACTCAGATGACGCATTTCCTTTCTAAGTGACTCATTGGCAGTGTCTTCCCATCACCCCTGCCCTTCTACGGTGTCACACGCTTTGTGTGCTGTGTGTGGAAACAGCTCCACGGGCCAGAAGTTGGCTTTTCCATTTTCCTGGGGAGGAGAACAGGAGCTCCACGGGGCCACCTTGGAAATGGCCTGCCCAGTGCCCAATTCAAGGTCAGCTGCTCCTCCACCCACGGTCCTCCCTGATGTGGCCGGGAGGGACCCACCTGTGACATACCCAGTACCGCCGTTGTGATCTGCACAGACTCCAGCAGGGAAGCCAGGCCCTGTGCAGATCAGCATTCTGCAGTCATGTTCATTCTCGCCTCCCGCAGGGTGGGGTGCTCATCCCCACCTGTGGATGAGACGGGGCGGCTGTGGGGGGGGTGGTGGCGGAGATCCGGGAACCTGCTCTGGGGACGGGTCGGCTGACCCAGTCGCTGTGGCTACAGCTGCTTCACCAGCTGGGGCCTTGGTTTCTTCATCTGAGGAAGAGGAAGAGTCAGAAGTTTGCCGGATGCAGTGGCGCGTGCCTGTGATCCCAGGAACCGGGGGTCTGCCTTCTGGAGCTGTCGGGAGGGCAGAATGAAACAATGTACAGGAAGTGCCTGGTTCATAAAACACGCAGGATAAATCACCGTGCTTACCTTTTTACAGTGATGTGGATGAGGAGAGTGGTGGCGGTTTTTCTAGATCTCAAGAAAGAGGCTGAGTCTGACCGTCTTTCAGCTCCAGAGGATTTTCACTTGCTTTCACTTCTTACACTAAGCTTAAAGAAATATGCACGCATACACAAATGCACAGGAGGCTGGAGACAGGGAGTGGCGTCTTAACAGGGATGGATTTTCCTTTTCGGGGAGTGAAAAGGTTCAGGCATCAGAGTGGTGGGGAATGACAGTGGTGTGAATCTGCTTGATACCACTGAACTGTGCATTTTAATCGTGAAAATTGTACATTTTATATGATGTGTATTTTACCACAGAAAATGTGCAAGTCATGTACATGGAAAATTATGAAACATTACTCAAATGAAGGAAGAAAATGTTTGTTTAAAGCACGCTGTACACATACCCTTTTGTTTCCAAACTCCTCAATGACCTACTGAGAAAAGGGAGGTGTCCCGGCACATGTGTGCAGTCCCAGCCCCCCGGGAGCTAGCTTTGCGACTTTAGGCGGGAGCGGATACCCTGGCCTCGGGCCCCGGACCCTAGACGATAAAGTGAGTCAGTGTGGTCCCTGCCAGTCTGTCCTCATCACTGATATACAATTACACACAGCGACTGCCTCTAGAATTCTGTTTGGTGGGGTTTAGAATTCACTCAAAGACTTTTCTTTAATGATATTAAAATGAACGTCCAGGTTGAGGAGATATAGGTGCATGCCACTATGTCCAGCTAATTTTTGTATTTTTAGTAGAGATGAGGTTTCATCACATTGGCCAGGCTGGTCTTGAACTTCTGACCTCAGGTGATCTGCCCGCCTCGGCCTCCCAAAGTGCTGGGATTACAGGCTCGAGCCACGGCTCCTCGCCCATTAAATGTATTTTTGACTTATAATATTTTCACCTCACAATGGGTTTACCAGGAGGTAACCCCATCAAAAGTTGAGAAGCATCATGCGTTTATAATAATCCCCCCAAAGTAAAACTCTGCAAGTGAATCCGAGGAGGGGGTCAGCTGCAGATGGCTCACTGAGACCGCACTGAGTCCCACGGCAAGACCCCATATTTATCAAAAATACCAAAAATTAGCTGGGCGTGGTGGTGCACACCTGTAGTCCCAGCTACTCGGGCAGCCGAGGCAAGAGAATCGCTTGAACCCGGGAGGCAGAGGTTGCAGTGAGCCAAGATTGCACTGTTATACTCCAGCCTGGCAATAGAGTGAGACCCTGTCTCCAAAAACAAACAAATAAATAAAATGAATTGCATGCGGTGATCACACTCAAAGTGACCCCCGCCCTGCAACTGGAGGAGGAAGCAAATCCCCGCAGTGTGGTAGAGGAAACTCAGTGAGGGGCTAATCATCACCATCAGGAAGCCACGGTGCCTGATCTGTGGACAAGCCGCAGGTCCTACATTTGTGGACAACCTCAAAACCAGGTTGAGGGGATGCTAGGAGAAGGAGAAGGGGATTGCTTGGAGTTTGAGGCACAGGAAAGAAGCTGGGGGAAAAAACAAGAACATCCCGGAGTCAGAGCAAATGAGTCTGGGCGGCCGGTCCACAGTGCCCTGTGTTGCTTTATCTCCGCCTGTTACATAAACGCCACCTCCCAGCCATGCTTGAGATGCAGATGGCAGCCGGAGGTTAACCTGGGCAGGTTTCCTCGGACTCCCGGGGAGATGTTGCTTCCGCCTCCAGACTTCCCTAGTCGATGAGCAAACAGCATCGCCAGCGACCAGATGCGTGATGACAGCATTGATTGTGATTCTCTCTCCTTTCTCTCTTTTTCTTTTCTTAGAGAGCCCAGAGTGCCTCGGGGAAAATTGGCTGAATAAAAGGTATAAAGACTTTCTCTATTTTTCCTGAATAGTTTTTGACAGATATGAGCATGTTGAACATCTCGGGAGCTGCCGATAATGAAAGCCAGGAGTTTCTGGGGTTTCCCGGCCACCGGAGGGAGGAAGAGTTTGGGGGCTGCGGAGGGAGGGCTGGGCGCCATTTAGCACCTCTGCGTCGTTCTTCTCTCTTGTCCCCCACGGGCGACCCCAACATGTGCTGGGAAAGCAGGGCTGAGGGGCAGAGGGGCTGAAAGGGAAGTGGATGAATGGGGTAAGGATGGAGGGCGATTGTTTTTAGGCGATTCTGGCTGGCCCGTGAAGCAGTATCATGTCCTTCCTGATCCCTTCCCTCCCCCAGCCCCGAGGTCCCCCACCCCAGGTGCTCAGTGCATAGCCACCCATCCCTCAGGCAGCCCCAGCTTGCTGGTCCAGGGTGGTCTGACTCACCTCCATGGCCCCGTCTCCTCGGGGAAGGGGCTTCAGAGATCAGCTCAGTTCCCAGTGTCGACCCTCGCTGGGGGACTGGTTGCTACCGCCTGAGCCCGTCAGTCCTTTGCTCCATACCCTCAACCCCGACTACCCACGTGCGGCTGACCCCCTCCTCGGATTCACTTTCAGAGTTTTACTTTGGGGGGATTATTATAAAAGCATGATGTTTCTCAACTTTTGATGGGGCTACGTCCTGATAAACCCATTGTAAGATGAAAATACTATAAATCGAAAATGCATTTAATGGGCCGGGAGCAGTGGCTGGCGCCTGTAATCCCAGCACTTTGGGAAGCCAAGGCAGGTGGATCACCTGAGGTCAGTAGTTCAAGACCAGCCTGGCCAATGTAGTGAAACCCCATCTCTACTAAAAATACAAAAATTAGCTGGGCATGGTGGCAGGCCCCTATAATCCCAGCTACTCGGGAGGCTGAGGCATGAGAATCGCTTGAGCCCGTGAGGCAGAGGTTGCAGTGAGCCGAGATTGCACCACTGCCCTCCAGCCTGGGCAACAGAGCAAGACTCCATTAAACAAGAAAAAAAAAGAATCTATTTGCACTCTAAGTATTGATGTGGCAATTTGCCTGGCTCTGTAAACTCGGATTTTTGCATGTTTATTTTTTAAATAGCTTTATTGGAGTCCAGTGGGCGTATGATAAACTTCACATAGAGTGTGCAATTTGATAAGCTTTGATACGTATGGATGCCCATGACACCGTCACCACAATCGAGATAATGGATATATTCACCCCCCAACCATTACGTTGTGCCCCTTCCTCATCTCTTCCTCGCACCCCACCGATCACCTCTTACAAGGCAAACACGGACTCTGCTTCCTGTCACTGTAGAGCATTTGCTATTTTCTGAGTTTTATATAAATAGATCGTAGCATCTAGTCGTTTTTTTGCTTGTCTTCTTTCACTCCTCGCAGTTATTCGGCGGTTCCTCTGTGCTGTCGTGCCTATAAATACCTTCTTCCTTGTTCCGGCTGAGTCGTATTTCACGCCGGGACTGGGCTACAAGGCATTTACCCATTCACTCTTTAGAGGACATTTGGGCTGCTTTGACTGTTGCAAGCAAAGCTGCTGGGAATATTTGTGTGCAAGTCTGTGCATGGGCATATTCTTTCTTTTCTCGTGGGTGAAATGGCTGGATCCCAAGGTAAGTGTATTTCGACTCCGGAAGTAAGTGCCAAACTGCTTTCCAGAGTGGCTGCACGACTCTGCGTTCCCACCAGCCATGGGTGAGAACGGCAGTTCTTCATCCTCCTCAGCACGTGGTGTGGTCAGTCTTTATAACAAGCCATTTGACTAGGTGTGTAGTGGCAGCTCACTGTGGTTTTAATTTATATTTCCCTAGTGACTCATGATGTTGAGAATCTATTCACAGGGTTATTTGACATTTATTATGTCTTCTTTGCTAACATGTAAGGAGATATTTTTTTTCTCCTATGCTTTCTCCTAGATGTTCTGTAGTTTCAGGTTTTACATGTCATTCTATGATTCATCTCGAATTAGCTTTGGCACGGGGCAAGCTATGGATTGAAGTTTATTTTTCTGCATATGGACGTCCAATGATTTCACTATCACTTATTAAAAAGATCATCCTTTCTCCCATTGAATTATCCCTGCAGTCTTATCAAAAATCAGTTGTCAGTGTATGTGAGTCTGCTTCTGGGCTTGATATTCTGTGTCTTGGATCTACTGGTCTGCCTCGATACCAGTCCTTCCACAGCTGTTACAGTGACTGCATAGTAGGTCTGGAAATCAGGCAATCTTCCTGTTCTTCATCCTTCTTTTTCAAAGTTGTGTGGGCTCTTCTAGGCCCCTTACATTTCCTTATGAGTCTTAGAATTAGTGTGTGAATTTCTAAGGAAAAAAAATGCCAGCTGGGATTTTGATCGGGATTGTATTGAATCTGTGAGTTTGAGGGACTGCTATGGTTCGGCTCTATGTCCTCACCCTCATCTCACCTTGAATTGTAATCCCCGGTGTCAAGGGCGGGGCAGCGGGGAGGTGGTTGGATCATGGGGGCAGTTTTCCCCATGCTGTTCTGGTGATAATGAGTGAGTCTCATGAGATCTGATGATTTTATAAGTGTCTGGTATTTCCCGTGCTTGGACTCATTCCCTCTCCTGCCGCCCTGTGAAGAGGTGTCTTCCACCATGATTGTACATTTCCTGAGGCCTCCCCAGCTCTGTGGAACTGTGAGTCAGTTAAACCTCTTTCCTTTATAAATTACTCAGTATTATTGGGTATTTCTTTATAGCCGAATGAGAATGGACTAATACAACCATCACTGACACCTTAACAATACTGGACCCTCTGACTCATAAACAAGGTATTTCTCTCCATTTATTTAGAACTTCTTTAATTTCTCTCGTCAATGATTTGTGGTTTTCAGTGTATGGATTTTGCACGTCTTTTCTTAGATTTATTGCCAATGTCATTCGTATTTTAATGCTTCTTAAAATGATATTTTTCTTTCCGTTTCTGATTGATTATTGTTAGTGTATAGAAATAAAATCGATTTTTTGTACATTGATCTTGTGTCCTGCAGCCTTGCTAAATCCGTTTACTAGTTCTAGTAGATTTTGCGTCAATTGCATCAGGTTTTCTACATAAATGATTGTGTTAACAAAGGCAATCTTATTTTACAATAAATATAACCCCGATGTGCCGGGGCTGTATTTATTCTAGGTCTGATTGCTCCTGCTACTAGGGCAAGACTCTGCAGGCTCTACCCAGTACCCGGCGAACAGTAAAGAGTTCCTGGTCCAATCCGACTAGTGAGGACCGAGCTACTCCTGGCCCGTGAGGGTGCTGAGAACTGGGTCCCTGGTCCCTCGTCCCTCCGGGGAGTTCTTGCCTCCGCCTTGGGTGGTTTCCTCCCAAGCTTGTGCTGATCAGTGCTCAGCTGAGTGCTCAGTGGGACCCTCTGAGTATTTACTTACAGAGCTCTTTCTCCGTCCAGCTCCTTCTCCCCAGTGCTCTTTCTTACAACTCCAGCCGCCTTGTCTCCCCGCCTCTCAGCTCTGTCTCCTCAACTCGGGGAGTCCACGAGGCTTCACGTGGGGTCCCGGCACCACGGCCTGAAAACTTCCTCCAGACAGTCAGCTGGGACGATCGTGCCAGCCCTCTGTGACCAGCGCTGGGGGTCGCTGCACTTCATGGTGTCTTGTTCAGTGTCTTGAAAACCATTCTTCAGCTTGTTGTGGTTCTAGGAGGCGGCACATCAGTCCCCATTTCTCCATCTTGACCAGAAGCAGAACGTGTTTCTTCGTCACACCAGATCCGTCTCCCCAGTAACTGCCCGGCGGCTGGACACATCCAGGCACATACACAGGCTGGGCCTGGCCCTTGTCCCCAGTCCCCTGCGGGGGGAAGGAGCGAGGGTGCAGGGCTGTCAGAAGCACTCGTCGGCCTGGGACACACAGTCCTAGTGTAGAGACAAACACCTTTGCTTCCCAGGCCTTGAGAAGAGCCTCCTCTCCTCAATGGGGAGCGCTCTGCAGGGGCCGGGACGTAGCTCTGGAAAGGCTGAGCAAGAGCGCTTCACGGCGTTTCTTCTCAGGAAAAATTTGGTTGTCAAGAATAAGGAGAGTTGGCACCATAGCTCACATCTGTAATCCCAGCACTTTGGGAGGCCGAGGGGGGCAGATCTTGAGGTCAGGAGATCAAGACCAGCCTGGCCAACATGGTGAAACCCCAACTCTACTAAAAATACAAACAATTAGCCAGGCGTGGTGCACATGCCTGTCATCCTAACTACTTGGGAGGCTGAGGTAAGAGAATCGCTTGAACCCAGAGGCAGCGGTGACAGTGAGCCCAGACCGTGCCACTGCACTCCAGCCTGGGTGACACAGCGAGACTCCATCTCAAAAAAAAAAAAAAAAAAAGAATAAGGAGCGAAAGAGAGAGAGAAATAATATCTCCAACTCTCAAAGATTGGGTGGTGGGGAATGTCAGAAAACCTGGGAGAAGGGAATCTAGAGACCCCCAACAAACCAACCAGCCTCCCTCTCACCACGTACCACTGTGCCTCCAGGTGCACCCTCCTTGCCCCCAGTGAGAACAGCTGAGGAGGGCCCATGGAAAGCTAAGCCTGCTTGGTGTTCCAAATCATGACCCCTGCACCTGCCTCCGCTGGCTCAGGCACACCCAGTCCTTTATCTGGACACAGCATCTCCCGCTGACAAGGAGCTTGGACGCAGGTCACTGCAAGTGACACCTGCCATCCCGTGTCATCCTTGCAATAGGCCTATTTGGAAGGCAGGAGCAGCCCTGGTGTCCCCATTCTACAGATGAGGAAACTGAGGCTTAGGATGGGTCAGTCATTCGCCCAGGCCCACGTTGGAAGGGGCCAAGGCCCACGTTGGAAGGGGCCAAGGCAAGGCCACAGCCCTCGTTGTTCAGGCTTCTTTTCACACTGAGAATCTCCCTGGAGAGGTCGAGGCTCCCTGTAGGAGACTGCGGATGTCATAGGCTTGATTTCTGAGCCCATCCCCCTCTGTG